AGAAGAAAAATATTGTAAGATGAAGAAATGTTACACGAGCCAAAGTGCAAAAACCGAAATTCAGCGCTCACCTAAGTTAAAATTTTGTCAGGAGTTTCGAACAGCTAGTGATCTGATCTGCCGGCTGCTTTCAGACACAAAAGTTGTTAAAAATCAGCTAGAGTACTAAAACTGTGTTGTTATAAGGCACAGCTTATATGATAGTGGCATTTTGAGTACCTGTCTATCCTTATTTAGCTCATGCCACTGTGAAGACAAATGGGAAGGCACATTTTATAGACAAAAGGGAAATAATCACTTCTGCGCGACTTATCTACAAGTGCACGCCTCATATTGGACGAACAAAAGAGGCTGAAAAAAGTTTGACAGTGATAGATTTGAATTGCAGTCAACTGTATGGCCCTTTGATCCTCTTTCAGTGTACATAGGATCGCATATTTCGAAGTATTTTAGGTCCAACATACTCTTTACTTTTCTATTCGTGGCGAATTAATACAGTTCAAAGGGCTGTTTAACATGTAACTAAGGATTCTTACAGGAGATCAATGTCCAAATGGCAAGTGCTAATGTGTAATATCATACAAGTTAGTGGCAATATTGGTTGTCTTGTGGGCAAATGCATATTGGACCATTCATCATCATATTGTTAGCTTTGCTTCCACTTAAAGGCAAAGCTATGAATGAGCTCCCATAAAAGAAGTCTAAGTGAACAATGGATTGAGATTGAGAGAGGCAAATCAATCTTTGCATCTTTCTTGAGTAGTGAGGATGGACCATGTGAAAATTGATGACCACTCCACAAGCACAACCAGATGAGTTTTTCCCCTTTTTTTCTTTACCCAATTTATGGCCACTCCATAAGCATCCCATTTTTTTTTTTTTCCATTTTTCCTTTTCTGTGTATGTGTGTCTCTATGTTTCAACTTCATGGCCACTCCATGAGCACTCCAAAAATTAGTAGGTCAACCTAGAAAAAAATTGCTTTAGATGGTGGATCATGGATGGCAGTTATTAAGATGAAAAGTAGAAGAGAAAATTGAAGGAAATGAGATCAATTAATAGGAGAACATAAACTTGTTTTCCATTTGTTAGTGAAGGCTGAAAAAGATAATATGGATTTCTAGGGGCAAGAAACATATGTTGATTACAAAAAATTTGTGTTATATGGACATATTAACTCTTGTTATTTTTCTTTTTTCTTCTTACACAAGTCACTCAAAGTCTCAAACAAAATTACTAGATAATTGCCTTTTTTTTCCCATTAAAAAAAAAATAAAAAAAGAGATACAAGTATTAAACTAGCTAAACCTGCTAAAGCCTAATTACCTCGCATCTAAAACCCCTACGGCGTGGGTCCGTTAACCATGAGAAAAAAATGACAACCTTTATCAGCCGTCTCTACCGCCGGAAAACACCGTCGGCAGCTACTCTAGTCTCCACGCGCCGCCGTCTATTCACATCCCCCTCTCCCTCCTCCTCATCCTCCTCGACTTCTTCGAAACTCCGCACCGAATACTCCTTTGTGGCTCCCCCCTCTCTCCTCCCACAAGAACCCAATAAGAGTACCGATTTTCAACCCGGGCCCGAACCCGGAACCCGAAAGCCGCCCAAGCCCGCCTACCGACCCCCATCGTCCCTGAACAAGTCGGTCCGGCCGACCAGGTCCGACCTCCCTTTCGATTTCCGGTTCAGCTACACGGATAGCAGCCTAAAGGTTCGGCCCATCGGGCTGAGGGGGCCAAAGTACTCGCCTTTCGGCCCGGGCCGATTGGACCGGGAATGGACCGGGGTTTGCGCCCCCGCCGTCGACCCGAAAGAGGGGTCAGCCGAGGTTGACGGTGAGTTGGAAGAGAAAAGGAGGCTGATGAGAGAGAGGGTCCAGGGAGAGCCATTGACTAATTCTGAAAGAAAAGCTCTTGTTGAGGGGTGTCAAAGGCATAAAACCAAGAGGCAGATTAATTTGGGTATGCTCAGTTTTCATTTTATTTTTTTTTCTATTTTCTTGAGGTGTTAGGTTGTATATGTTGGATTGGGGTGTGAAAGTTCTGAACTTGAGCTGGAAAAAAAGGCAACAAGTTAATGAATTTAATGGCCAGCAGTACAAATTTTGTTGCTTTGACATCCTGGGAAAAGTTAGAATGTAGATGAAACACCATTGATAATCATGGTTTATTGTTTGTAATGCTGTTAGCTGTTGTTGTTGGTCAAGTCTCATAAGTTACGGGAGTCTTATGGTCGTGACTAGCTCGTGTTATTGTGTTTGTGGGTTTATATGACAGCCACACTTGATTTGAGTAGCCTTGTATTGGCTCTATCAGGCGCATTGCTTGGGATACATAGTTGGAATACAATGGTTCGCACCCTTTCAACTTGTTTGTTTGCGTAGGAATGAAGTTATCTAATTGATATGATCCGATTAGGTTCACTCTTATGTTTATTGTGGCGATAATGCTCCTTACTGGCTCTTTAACTAATCTTATTTTACAAAAACAGGAAAGAACGAACGGAAGAAAGAAAGAATATAAAAGAACGAAAGAGTTCTTTTTTTTTTCTCAGTTTTAGGATTTAATAAGGGCCTCATCTTCACATTTGAGCGTGTTTTTTCCTTTTGGTGTTGTCATTTTTAGGGAGGGATGGTTTAACTCACAACATGTTGAACGATATTCATAATAACTGGAAATTCACTGAGGCTGTGAGGATAAAGTGCATGGGAGTCCCTACTGTGGATATGAAGAACATATGCACCCAGTTGGAGGTAGTTTTGGTTAATCATTTCTCTTATTTGTCCTTTTCTTTTCTTTTCATTTCGTTGAACTTATAAATTCGTTATGAGTTAGCTTTGCGGTTTTGCATATCTCAGGACAAAACGTTTGGTCAGATCATTCAAAGACATGGCGGCCTACTTGTGCTTTATAGAGGTAGGCATTATAATCCGAAGAAAAGGCCCGTGATTCCACTTATGTTGTGGAAGCCTCAAGAGCCCGTTTATCCTCGTCTCATCAAAACTACTATCGATGGCTTAAGCATTGAGGAAACTAAGGAAATGAGAAAAAAAGGACTATCTGTGCCTGCCTTAACTAGACTTGGTAAAAAATTATGCTTTCAGTTTTTGTTCTTTTTCTTTATTAGAAAACGATGATTTTTCTTTTCAGTTGCTGTTATAACATATGAATTACCGTTTGCAGCTAAAAACGGCTATTATGGTAGTCTCGTTCCTATGGTAAGGGATGCCTTTCTCTGTGATGAGCTCGTTCGAATAGACTGTAAAGGCCTCCCGAAGAGTGATTACAAGAAAATAGGGTGCAAATTGAGGGTAACGTAACGCCTTTTTGCTAATTGTAGATATAATACATGATGAAAATAAAATTACACTCTATTTTCATTTACTTGCTCACAAACTCCAAGCTGCCTTTCTGTTGAATGCTTCTGTTTTTCGGAAAATTTGCTCTTTATCTTTTTATGGACAATGAAATTTACCGTTGGTTCTTTTGTACTCAGAATATTTATCACGCTCCAAAAAACCGTTCATTCTTTTTTATCAATGCCGGTACTATTCATATATGAGTGTATTTCTAGTAGTTTTTTTTTTCACTGCAAATAAATCACACTTCTTGATCGAGAATTGTCGAATTTCATTCACACAGGATTTGGTTCCGTGTACTCTGGTCACATTCGAGAAGGAACAGATTGTTATATGGAGGGGCATAAACTACAAGCCAGCTGAAGGTGGATATTTTCTCAAGGAAAGGGAAATATTCGAGGGTCCAGATGATGATGATGATCGAGCAAACGATCCACATGGCAATGAGACAACAGATTTCGAGCACGATAAGGCCGAATACTACTCTGGCGAATCCGATGATGAGTAGTTTTTGTCTTGTAAGAGAAAAAATCGGTTATTTTTTGAATTTACTAATTAGTTGCTTGAGGTTTTTGGATGTGTTGGAAACTTGAATCAACTCTACCAAACTTGCAGAAAGTGAACAGGGCTGGAAAAAAAGTAGATCCACGACAAGAATTGTTATTACCACATTCACTGTGTTCATAATGTGTCTAAATTTAGTTGATAGAATTAAGAATAGTCTGTTACTTTGTACCTCACATGCCTCTGCTGAATTCATGTGATGGTGGTTATGGAGTATGTGAGTTGTTGAGATTTGATGGGCACCACTTTTTAATGTGATTTGTTATTGTAGTATTTTATTTTGAGCTCTTGTGGTATAAATTATACTCCCTCCTATTTTTATTATTTGTCATTTTGGCTTAATTGATCATTTGTTAAATAAATGTCGTTTTGGCTATTTTGTATAATTTTTTCCATTATTTCCCTCATCTAACTAATAAATACACTACGTCTTTTCATATTCACTCTCTATCTTTTCTCAAAATATCAATATCTATACTCATTAATGAGGGTTATTATTGACAAAAAAATTATTCTTAATTACTGTGCAATTTCTCAAAACGACCTTTATTATAAATAGGAGGTAGTACAAATTTGGAAGGACCTTTTGTTTTCTAATATGGAGGAGCACTGCTATCATACTATGTGCCATTGGAGATAGATTATTATCTTAAAAAGGAACGTTTGAATGGAAAAATTGAATTAAAAAGTGAAAAAAAAAAGAAAAAAAACATTCTGGTGTAATGAAATATTTTCAATATTGTAAATAAATATAAGATAAAATGTAATAACTACATTTGTAATTTGTAAGTGAAAAAAAAAATAGTAAAATAATAAATTTAAATGACTGATAGTTGAAGATATGTGAGTGGAGGAATGATTATTATTTTAGCTGAAAAATGTGGAGTGATTGGATTATTATTTATTTGTATTGATGAGATTGATGAGAAAAAAATGAAAATATATAAATTGTGAATTTTGTCAAATAATTTTGTCAATTTGAAGATTCAATAAAAAAATTATTCCATGAGATAAACTTGAGGGGAAAACTATATACAATTTCTCTTATTATTTATATGTTTATTTCATTCTTTGTTATTCTTCTTCACGACAATCCATCATATTATTTGAATAAAAATATGTATTTATATTACTAAAAATCATAATTTTATTTATATTAACTTTTAAAATATGATATTCTTTGATAAAATGTAAACATATCTATAAAAAAGTACGGAGTGTATAACCAATCGACATAACGTAAAAAATGTTTTATAAATATTTAAAAAAAAAAACGTTTTATCAATATTTTTC